TAGAGAGGCCTTAAACCCAGCATATCAAAAAACTGAGTTAATACTCTTCTCTTAGAAAAGTATACCATCTTCTTTCCTGTTTCCACAAATGGCAGTATCACCAAGCAAAAGCATAAAACAGAGGAATCATGACTAACCTTTATTTCACACTTTATACCCAGTTAGTCACCAAATGGTATCTCTTCCCCTCCTTAAGAACTTTCACATCTTCTTTGGCCTTCTCTGTGATTTAAATTAAGCCTTTGGCATCTTTCTCCAGAAGGATTAGTTACTTGTTATCTGGTCTAAGTATCTATGTTCCCTTTTCTTGCTTTTGTTGCATCCTCTACACAACTACCAAAAAGACCTTTTCTGGTAGACATATTTGATTTCTGTGGCCCTCTGTAGTTCCCCATTACAGAATGAATGTCAAACTCAATAGCTTCACAATACAAGACCCTTCACAACATGCTTTTCTTTGTCATTCACACCTCTAGTTCACGTGCACAACTATCTGCATTTCTCTGAACTCTGACCTCTAAGACTTTGCATACACTGCATGTTCCTCCTGACTTATGCCCCTTCCAGTTCTTGTGGCAAACTGCTATTCATTCAAAATTTAGTCCAAATGTTCTTTTTTGTAGCCTTTAGACAGAATTTTTCACTTTATCCTTTATATTCCACAGTTGCCACATATTATATATACACATAATATTATAATGTACTTCTTTGCTTTATTGGTCTTTTGCCTCTACCAAAGTAGGAACTCTTAAAGCCTAGAATTTTTTTTGTCATTAATTTACCCAGAATCGATCTAACACTGCTCCTCATATTAAGAGGAATTCAAATATTTATTGAATGGATTTACAAAATGTATCTAATTCAAGGGTGCCCCCACTTTTGACAAATGGGAATCGGGTGAAAAGCCTGTGTTTGCGTTGGTTAATATGTCCCTGATGGATTTATAGTCTTCAAATATTTTTTATCTTTCCACCCTAAGAAGTCATATTTTTAGTTTGTCTTGTCTTCATTGTTGTACCTCCAGTCTCCTCAGGTTCTTTCAGTTATTTAAGTTGCTCTTCTCTGAATGTTTTCAAGTGCTTTTAAGTGGTCTTGTTGGGAAGACCCACATGACTCATAATTCTACACTCCAAATGGTTTGTATACAATAGTAAATTTTCTTATTTTAGAGATAATCTTTTAGGTACCCAGAAGCTTGCTGGAGCATAGTTGAGAATTCAGTTCTGTTGTTTGTTGTTGGCCGTTCTCATTGTGTTGTTTCTGGGTATGATATACGACATTTTTATTTAGAATATATTCTGATTCAAATGGTTATTTTTATCAACAGGAAAACACCTGTCATTCCTTATAATTTTATGTGATAGTTCACAAGTCTTCACCATACTTTCTATAAGCCCTTATAATCAAATTAAATCTTAAAACCAGTAAAGTACGTTGTATGACTGACTAATTGTGATGTGATCAAGGGTATATCATTACATCTAGCCAAGTATATTATTGTCTTTTCATTTATATTTTCACTTATTTTGAAAATAAATTCAAACATTTTCCTTTAACCTCAGGACATACCCTTCCTGTTATCTCATCATCCCCAATTTTACCCTCTTTTTGGAACTAGGAGGATAGATTTTGTTTTTAATATTGTTTATTACCTCTGAAGAGTCTGAATTAGAAGAGTCCTACTAGTTTCTAAGTATTAAAAGTTTTTACATATAGCAAGTCTAAGTTTTTACATATAGCAAAACTAAAAGCTCCTCTTCAAGGGAGCTGTGCAAATGCCCTGCTGATAAGAATACAGAAGTGAAAAGCTGAAACATTTCATGTGTTTTCTAATCACTTCTGTATATTTGATCACTTTAAAGTACTCACAAAACTGCCTTTATAACTGACAAATAAGTTGGCATAAGAACATTTTCTGGAAATGCAATGACTGGGGTTTTTTTTTAGGTTTTATTTACTTATCAGAGCACAAGCCGGGAGAGTGGCAGGCAGAAGGAGAAGAGGGCTCCCCACTGAGCAAGGAGCCTGATGCAGGACTTGATCCCAGGACCCTGGGATCATGACCTGAGCCGAAGGCAGACACTTAACTGACTGAGCCACCCAGGAGTCCCAGTGACTGGATTTCTTTAGGAATAATCAAACTGATGTTATTGAGCTATTTTTAAAACAGCAGAAAGTAAACTAGAAAAGAAGTTACTCTTGAGACTTTTTGCAAGTTTTATACTCTCGTATAGCCTATCCCAGTGCCAGGTGTACATAACAGCACCCAAGTACCTGTTAAAAGATTAATTCACGGTTTGTAAAATGTGATTTGCTACTACAGGGTATTTAACAGATATTCCCCTCATTCAAGATTAGGGGGCTTTGTGGATCTATGCTTAAAAAGCAAAGAACTGATGCAAATAGTCATTAGTGACTCATATTAAATTTATTCATTTCAGCCTATTAAAAATCTATTGAATGAAAATTATCAAATGTGCTAGGCTCTATTAAGGGATACAAAAAATATATAAGAACAGTCCTTTTCCCTTAGAGAAGTTTCTTATGCATTAGACAACACAGTGTTAACCGGTGTTTTGCACAAGTGTACATATAGCATTTGCCAAAGGGATGGTATAAAATGCAACAGGTATCATGAGCTCTTTTTTGCTTGGGGAGTCAAGAGTCTGCAGAGTATTTGGATAAATCCTAAAGGATGGAGTTAATAAAGAAGAAATTCTAATAAAAAGACTAACAGCTTTATTTTGAACTGAATTCTGTAGGGGAATTACAGACAGGATATCTGAGTCTCTTCCAACAAGTTCTTAATCTTAAAAAGAAAGACTATATACTTGCATTTAGGACAATAAAACAAAGAATAATAGTAAATAAAGACCTTCATAATGAAACATGTCTATAATTCAGTGCTAGTTAATTGTAAGTTTAAGAAATAAGTTCTCAGAAGCATGTATGTCACCATAAAATCTAAGAACTATCAAGTATTTATATGAAATATCTACTTGTATTTTAGAAAAATGTGTTCTAAATTTAACTTAAACAGTTTTATATGATCATTGCTAAAAAACTGGTAGAGTGTAGATCAATAGTCCAAAAAAGGGAAAACATTCATTTAAAACTTCCCCAAGGGGCCCCTGGGAGGCTCCGTGGGTTAAACATCTACCTTCAGCTTGGGTCATTATCCCAGGGTCCTAGGATCAAGCCCCACATTGGCTTCCCTGCTCCGCGGAGAGCCTGCTTCTCCCTCTCCCTCTCCTTGTGCTCATTCTCCCTCTCTCTTATTCTGTCACATAAATAAAATCTTAAAAAAAAAAAAATTTAAAAATGTAAAACTTCCAAACCCTGTGCTCCAGATATAACCCCCTATTAAAATAATAGTTAACATTTTTTTAAGGTTATGTGTATTGTGCCAGGTATTTTATATTTTCTAGCTTAATTTTTTAAGAAATTTGAATAAATATATTAAAATACTTTTTGTAACAACCAGAGGAAACAAACTGATCCCAAACTTGCTTTTTATATATGAGTTTGCTTCTATGTCAGTAAATAGATTAGTTTTTAATGATTGGATGCGTTCTATGGTATGGTCCACATTAATTTATTTAACCTGTAGCTTCTTACACATTTAGATTTTTTCCAAATTTCTGGATGTGGTTAGCAGGACCTTATATATTATGTATCTTCGCATTATATTGTACCCTTACTTCCTCAGAATAAAGAATTACCCAGCAGGGGACTTTCAGATTTAAAGAATATGTACATTTTAAGACTTTGTGTTCATTTTGCTAAATACCTCTCTAGAAATATGTCTGTTTATATTTCTCCCACGAGTAACTCCCAGGAAAATCCCTCTCCCCACCCCCTCTCTAACCTTAAATATTCCTTTTTAACTTTTGGCACTCTGAGTGAGAGTATCTCATTGTTTTGACATTGGATTTTTAGTGAGGATGAACATTTATTTCAAATGTTTATTGACCATTTGTGTATTTGTACATTACATGCTCCTCTCTTTTGTCCATTTGTGTACCTAGTATGTATTTAATAATTTATGAGGACTTTTATACATTGTTAGAGATTTTCCCCAGTATATCATTTTTACTTTTAATTTTGTTTCTAGTGGTGTTTAACTGTCCTGAAGTTTTCATTTTTGTATAGGCATATCCATAAAGCATTTCCTCTATGGTCATAGTTAGGAAGAAGAATTTTATATTCCATATTGAAGTTGTGTATGTTAACTTCTCTGTAATACTTACACAGCTGAAATTATTAGTGTGACTACTGGTTTATCATCTTTCTTCCTCACCGGACTGTAAGCTCCATAAGAGCAGGAATCATGTTTTGTATAGCTTTATCTCTGTTGTCTGGCATACAGTTAGGTCTGCAATAAATATTTGTTGAATGAATTGAAAATCTTAATCCATCAGGAATTCATTTAGATACAAGAAAGAAAAACAGGTACCTAGATCCTATTTTTCCCAAATAGTTTGACAAATTTTCTCCAGTGTGTTAAATAATTCACACATATACCCCCAGACACAAACACATAATCATTCTCTCTTTCCCTCTCTGATTTGATAGTTTTATCATATTAAACAATGCATGCAGATATTTGATTATCTCTAGATTTCCTAATCTGTTTTATCTATTCTGGTATGACATTGTCTACGAACAATGGAACAAATTCTCCTCCAGTATTTATTTCACTTTATAAACTACCCAGACTTCTTACACATTTACTCTTATCACAGAGCTTTACTACCAAGTCCTCAGAATCCAATTAGAATTTGGGATTTTGATTAAGTTTGAAACAATTAACATCTTAAAATATTTATTCTTCTCATTGAATAGTATGATATGCCTTTTCCATTTATTTATATGTTTGAATTTCCTTAGTTTTTTTTATATAGGATCTAATGTTTTATTGAGTGTATTTGTACCTTTTGTATTAATCTTTGTAGCTAGCTTGAGTTTCAGAGTGAATAATTGGAATCTTTTTTCTTAAGCTTTTGTCAGGAGTGATAAACCCAAACTATTCAGAGGACTACAAATCAAGGTAAGAAGATTTTAATGGAATTCCTTTTTTCCAGTATTTTTTTTAATACCTTAGAGTAAATTTAGGTATACAGAAAAATTGATCCAAAAGTACACTGTTCCCATATATACCCCCTCCTTGTATCCGCCCACCAGTTTCCCTTAACATCTTGCATTTATGTGGTACAGTTGATGAACCAATACTGATACATTATTAACTAAATTCCATAGCTTGCATTAGGATTTTTTCTGTATTGCATAGTTCTGGTTTTGCCAAATGTATATAATGCCATGTATACACCATTACAGTATCTTACAGAATAGTTTCATTGCCCTAAAAATATCCTGTGCTCTACCTCTTCATACCTCTTCCTGCCTCACCCCCTCCCTCAAACCCTTGGCAACCACTGATCTGTCTGTAGTTTACCTTTTTTTTTTTTTTTTTAAGATTTTCTTTATTTGAGAGATAGCACGAGAGGGAAGAGGGTCAGAGGGAGAAGCAGACTCCCTGCTGAGCAGGGAGCCCGATGTGGGACTCGATCCCGGGACTCCAGGATCATGACCTGAGCCAAAGGCAGTTGCCCAACCAACTGAGCCACCCAGGCGCCCGAGTTTACCTTTTGCAGAAGGTCATATGGTTGAAATCATACAGTATGTAGCCTTTTCAACTGGCTTCTTGGACTTAGCAATATGCACTTAAGTTTCTTTCCATATCTTCCTTATAGCTAGGTAGCTCATTTCTTGTTAACACCAAATAATATGAACATTCTGTTGTACCATAGTTTATTCACTTATGGAAGGACATCTTGGTCGCTTCCAATTTTTGGCAATTACGAGTAAAGCTGCCATACACATTTTTGTGTAGACATAAGTTTTCAACTTATTAATTACCTAGGAGCACAATTGCTAGGTCATATAGTAAGATTGTTTAGCTTTGTAAGAAATTCCCAATCTGTCTTCTAAATTGGCTGTATTATGTTGCATTCCCACTAGTTATGAGAGTTTCTGTGGTTCCCCATCTTCACTAGCATTAAGTATTGTCAGTGCTTGGCATTTTAGCCATTTTAATAAGTACATGATGATATCTCGTCGTTTTATTTTGCAGTTCCCTAATTGAACATCTTTTCATAAGCCTATTTGCCATCTGTAGGTCTTTTGGGTATCTGTTCAGATCTTTAGCCCACTTTTTAAATTTTTAATTGTGATAAATAATATTAAATTTACCATCTTAACTTTTTTTTTTTTTTCCATCTTAACTATTTTTAAACATACAGTTCAGTGGTGTTATATATATATTCACTGTGGGGGCACCAGGGTGGCTCAGTCGATTAAGCGTCTGCCTTCGGCTCAGGTCATGATACTGAAGTCCTGGGATCAAGCCCCACATCGGGCTCCCTTTTCGGCGGGGAGCCTGCTTCTCCCTCTCCCACTTCCCCTGCTTGTGTTCCCTCTCTTGCTGTCTCCCGTTCTGTCAAATAAAAATCTTTAAAATATAGGGGCGCCTGGGTGGCACAGTTGGTTAAGCGGCTGCCTTCGGCTCAGGACATGATCCCAGGGTCCTGGGATCGAGCCCCACATCGGGCTCCCTGCTCAGCAGAGCCTGCTTCTCCCTTTCCCTCTGCCTGCCGCTCTATTTGTGCTATCTCTTTGTCAAATAAATAAATAAAAAATATCTTTAAAAAAATAATAAAATATATATATATACACACACGTATATGTGTGTATATATGTATATGTATATATTCACTGTTGGGCAACAGATCTCTGAAATTTCTTCATCTTGCAACACTGAAAGTCTCTACCTGTTAAACACTAATTCCCGCAGTCCTCCTCCGCCCAGCCCTTTGACCAACCACCCTTCTGCTTTGTTTCTCTGATTTTCACTATTTTAGATACTTCATATGAGTTGAATCATGCAGTATTCGTCCTTTCATGGCTGGCTTATTTCTCTTAGCATGAGTCCCCAAGGTTCATCTGCCTTGAAGCATGTGACAGGATGCTTTTTCTCCATCTATTGATAATATTTTTCTTAATATGTCCCCACCAATAGGCTAACTTAACTGATTTTCAGTTGTTGTACCAGGCTTGTATACCTGGCATAAATCCGAATTGGTCATGGTACGTAATTCCTTCATACAGTTCGGTTTGACAATATTTTGAAGATTTTTACAGCTATATTCTATGTAAATTTTTATCTTTTTGTGGACTAAAATGAGTTTTTGAAAAGTCAGATCTTTTAAAATAGTTTGTAGATAATCTAACCAAAAATGGTTTAGTAATGGTATTGATTCATTACAAATGGCTTGAGACTATACCAGGTGCTAATCACATCAGAGCTTGTCTCCAGCTCTGTAGAGTTCACAAACTAGACACCGGAGGCATAAATTGCTGAAAGAAGTTCTAAGAGCTGCCTTCATCATCACTGCTGCATTTTTGGTTATGTGATTCAACTTACTTTAGCATTGAAGATGGATTTCTTAATGAATTGGAATCACGTTTGTTGATCATGTTGGTCACTGTTAGAATTTCCTCAGTTCTCTGTCATATTATTAGGGTCAACTAGTGAGTCTGAAGTTTCAGAATCCAGCCTAATTATAAACTAATTACAATAAAAAATGATTTCTTAAAATTTAAAACTCAATACAGAATTTTGATAATTTGTGTGCACAGCCTATTTCAACAGTGGTCTTTACACAGTCATTCTCATTTTGAACTTGTCTCCTCCATTAGGTTTTAAGCTCATGTGGACTTTGTTGTAACAATAAATATTTGTTTATATTCAACCTTAAATCTTAGTCTTGATACCCACAGGTGTTTCTCTTTTTAGAGGTAAATGTAATTATTTAGTTCTTTTTTGAAATCCTGTAGGACCTATTATGAGGTTATATCTACACGCCTTTTTATAGGGTAAAGCTGGATTAAATTGGTTTTTGGTTGAGGCTGAGAAGGCTCTTCTAAGCAGATAAAAATGATGTCCTTCTTTTTGCAGTATGTTCGTGGTTCAGATCCTGTATTAAAGCTTTTGGATGACAACGGGAACATTGCTGAAGAATTAAGCATCCTCAAATGGAACACAGACAGTGTAGAAGAATTCCTTAGTGAAAAGTTGGAACGCATATAAATCTTGCTTCAATTTTGTCCTATCCTTTTGTTACTTTATCAAATGAAATATTACAGTACCTAGAGAATATTTTAGAGTTTTGCCTCCTTCCTTTGATCATTCTTTCTGTGAGGCATTAAACAGCTCATTAACAGTTGAAGTGGCAGCACAGCCCATGGTATCTGAGGAGTTGGCAAGCTTAACAGAACCCAGTTTTCATAAATTTCCATCCTTCCATATTTGTTGATACCACTAACGAAATGCTTTGTAATAGTTGGCTAATTATGCAAATGATAGTTTGTAATAATTGGTCCAGTTTTAGGAGCAGCAGATGTTTAGAGTAAGGCAGGTGATAAGGGAGATGCCTACTGTGCCTCATGCATGTGCTGTATGCTCTTTGAAAACAACAGCAAAAACCACAAAGCAAGTAAGAGCCACTGAGCCTCAACAGATTGCCTGCTGCTTGTTTTTCCAGCTTTCCTTTTAATAGAAATGTTATAGTTCATAATGTGTTGCATTAAAACTTTATGGCTTCATTATTGTAAAACAGATTCAAGATCTACAGTAAGAATGAAACATTCAGAGATTTGCATTAATGAAGACTACACAGAAAACCTTCAGGAGGATTTGTGTGGTTCTGATATTTAGCAAATTTTTGTGCTTCATGCTCTTACAGAAAAATAAAAAATCATTTAAGACCAAAATATAAATAAAGTTTCAAAAAAAATTGAGAATTTGAAATTCTTATTTGTCCTCTCGTGTTGAAAAATGACACATTTCTCAGTGCATTTTTATTTTTTCATAGAAGCCCTATTTTATCCAAAATGTTAAAATGGCTATAGTGTTTCACACTTATTGTGGGTAATATTAGTTTATACTGGTCTAGCAGTTTCTCAAAGTGCTTTTATCTTTGAACACATTTTTTATTGATATCTCCTTTAAGGAATAGCTCTTAAAATGCAGAATTTTTATTGCGCTATTAAAAATGATTTTTCTTGCTTGACCCTCTGGTGGTTCACTAAGAACAACATTCATCCAAATGAATTTAGGTCATTTAAACCTCTTATCAGATGGGTCTAATCTTATGTCAGCTTAATCTCGGGATAAATTCTTATAATCTAGAAACTTTAAAAATAAAAAATTAAGAATTAAACCATGTTAATGAAGACTATTTGGAAGTCTTCAAAGATACTACCAGGAAATGTTTATAGAATCATTTTTAAGAGATTGGTTATTATTACTAGCATTTTGTATTATGTCCTATTTTAAGTATATTTGTAAAGCCATGAAGAGAATAAACCCTAGGCAAGTTGGTTAACAAAATAAAACACTATGAGAAGTCTTGGCAAACAGACTAGGTTCTATTTTTGATTAGAGTAATGGAGAGAGCCATCGTTTTGATAGTGCAAGACCCTGGATGGTGTGGCACTATCCCCCGTGGCCGTTATTACTTCAGAACGAGAGGGAGGTGAAGCTGGTCAGGGACAGTGGGAAAAGTAGCATGAGGAGGGGCCACCGCGTACAGATGAACAGTAGGATAGAAGGGGTGAAACTTCAGAACTTCTGGGATCGGCACAGGAAGCTCATTGGACTGCTGTCTGGGCAGGAAGAACCAGTTAAATGAGTGCTGGCATTGGCTTTAAAAAAAAAAAAGTGAAAGGAAGCTTAAAAACTCTTCAAGTTATTATGAGAGATCAAAAGAGGCTAAAGAACCCCCATAGTAGCTTAGAGCTTGAAGTTCTTGAGTTGATGGATAACCGTGTTTCCACCAAGCTCTACTATTTTAATTGGGAAGCTCAAATTAATCAGTCAATTCCAACTAAAAAGACAAATGATGGCTAGGAGAGCTACTGATCCAAAAAGTGCCATTTTGTAGCCCAGTTCTGATACTTGATTAAGCTTATTCTGGTTCACAAATATGGATATGTAATACTTGATATTTATAAATTTGTTCCCCCTGCCAAAATGTTACTTATAACCTAAAACAGTTAATTTATCTGTAAATTCCTGAATTTGGCAAAATCCTCTTAAAAGGAACCTATGAAAAACTATTTCCTGTTTTAAGAGGATTTGAGGCTTAAAAGCTAGTCTAAAAGATCATAAAATGCAAAAAAACACTTCTGAAAGCAAATACTGTGAAACTTTGGAAATTAAAATTGGCCTTCCCTTATATGTGAAAGCAAATACATGGGAAGGAGGAGTAGAGATTCAAGATACGAGCACAACTAGGTAAGTATTTCTTTTACTTGAAAATTAAAATGCCTTTTAATTATATTCTGTGGTGACAGAGGACTTGCTGGGAAGAGGCCTGCATTTGTGATAAAAAATTCAGAGTAGGCTCTTGCTGAACATTTTACCTTCAAACTGCCTCTTTGCCAGAAATCAGTAACATGAGACATGGTTATTTAGAAATGCAGAGGAAATAAAATAGGAATACTCGTCTGCAGCCTCTATAACTGGCCTTTTACTTTTAGCCACTCTTAAAACATATTTTACAAATACAGCCATTTTACCTGTCCAGCATCATGAAGAGATTGAAGTTTAGCCCTAAAAAAAGTTTGGTAGAAAAACTAAGCTACAGTCAACCCTTATTATTCATGAATTCCATATTTACAAATACACATGCTCATTATCTGTAACCCCACAGTCATAATATGCAGGATACTTTTGAAGTCATTTGCAGGTGGGAGCAGAACAAAAAATTTGAGTCCCTCAGTGCACCCGTTCCCAGCTATAATCAAACAAGGGGACACTGCCTTGTTTCAGCTCTCCTGCTGTAAACAAAGATCCTTTCATACTCTAGTTTTTTGCATTTTTGTGCTTTATGTTGGTGATTCAGCCTTTTAAAATGGCCCCCAAGCATAGTGCTAAAGTGCGGTCTAGTGTTCCTAAAAAGAGAGCAAGAAGGCTAGGATGCGCTTTATGGAAAAAGTGCATTTTAGTTAGGTTTTGTTGAGGCATGACTTGTGGGCCACGAATTCAGTGATGATAAATCAACAATATGCATTAAAGTGTCTTTAAATACAAATACATAAAACAAGATTATAGATAGGTTGACAAAAATATTGTGACCAGGGGCTTCCAGGAACTTAACCCTTCCCTGTATGTCCCCTGAGAGCAATGGTCTGTTAAAGTGTTTGCAGCAACTTCATAGAACTACTTTGAGTACTGAGAATGGACTATAACTTTTTACGTTTTTGAGATACAATTCACATTTAAAACACACTTGAAGTATGCAGTCCAATGTTTTAGTATATTCAGAGCCGTGCAACCACCCCCACTATTCTAAATTCAGAACATCTTCACCACCTCAAACAAACCTTACCCACACCCATTAGCAGTGACTCCCGCAGCCACCTACCCCCAGCACTGACGGCCACGAATTTTGCTTTCTGTCCCAACGGGTTTGCCTATTCTGGATATTTCATATAAGTGAGATCATACAATACGCGACCATTTGGGGTCCTTTATTTTAGTAGGTCTTCAAGCTTCATATCACGGCGTGTATCGTCAGTACTTCATTGCTTTTTATGGCTGATTTTCCTTTGTATGACTATACCACATTTCATCCATTATTCGGTAGTCATTTGGGTTGTTTCCACTTTGGGGCTGTTTTATGAATAATGCCGCTGTACTCTGAAGGGAATTGCTGAGTCATACTATCTGATTAACTCTTGGAGACACAGGCAGACTTTTCCACAGTGGCTACGCCATTTTACATTCCCACCAGCCACGTACAGGATTCCAATGTCTGTACATCCTAAATTTCTTGATCTCTCTATTAAGAGTACTCATCAGGGGCTACTGAGATGTGTTAAATACTTTGCCCTCCATTAACTGGTCGTCAGACTGCAGTTATAATTCTTTATATGTTTTATTCTCTGAATTTTACCTGCCTCTTGCCTATTGTCACCTTACTGGATTTCATTTTTCTCTTCCCCAACCTTAGTTATTAAACTAATGTCCCCGGGGCGCCTGGGCGGCTCAGTCAGTTAAGTGTCCGACTCTTGATTTCGGTTCAGGTCATGATCTCAGGGTCAGGAGATTGAGCCCCAAGGAGGGCTCTGCACTGAGCATGGAGTCTGCTTAAGATTCTCTCCCTCTCCTTTTCCCCACCCATCCTGCTCACGCGCACACACAAAAAATTAATGCCTAGTGTCCCCATGTCTAATAAAGGTCACATTCTAGTGAAAGCCAACAATTGCAACAAATAGATCAATTACGGTAAAAGTAAGGAAAAAGTTACTAGAAGAGAATTACAAAGGGAACTAATGAGCTTAGGGATCTCTGAAGAATATGATATTTAAACTGAGGCCTAAAATATGAACAGAAACTATCCAGGTAAAGTGAATTAAAATGCCTTCCAGTGAGAAGGGAGAGCATGTGCAAAGATGCTGACTTAGTAGAAAGTCTGAAAACACATATCTGAAAGAAGGCCCGTGTGTCTGGAAACTAGTGACCCAGGGAAAAGGGTAGTAGGAAATGAAGTTGTGAAAGTAGGCCGGGAAAGTCTAATAGATGCCATCCTAAAAATTCAACTGTATTCTAAGTTGCTTTCAGAATAAAACCTTGAGCAGGGGCAAGACAAAATCCAGTATGGTCAACTCTAAAGGTCATGAACAATGAACAAATACTCACTTATGCCTATGTAAACAAATATCTGCTTTCACTAAGGACTAATAACTGCTTCAGAAACCTCTAGTATATTACTTGCTTTTTAAAACTATTCCTCCAGGGCACCTGAGTGGCTCAGTCAGTCAAGGGTCCAACTCGATTTTAGCTCAGGTCATGATCTCAGGATTGTGAAATCAAGCCCCATGTCAGGCTCCACACTGGGCATGGAGCCTGCTTAAGATTCTCTCTCCCTCTCCCTCTGCCCCTCACCCCCTAAAAAAAAAAAAATTACTCAACTTGCTTTAGAACAAAAAAGACAAGCCTAAACATAAATGTTAAATTTTATGAGAGTCCAATATTCATTTGTATGCCTACTAAGTGGATTCTTAAAATATTCACTAGTTAGGTGAACTAATAGGAAGTGACTATTCATACCACACTCAGGCATTCTTCCTTGCCATCTTTAAGCACCAATCTCCATTCTAGTTACATTGTGGAGCTCCAGTCTTAGAACTATTTGACTCAACATCTAAGATGGTCTTTTCTGTCACCACCTCTATAGTAACTAGTACCAGAGTTGGTGGGACTGGTTTGATCTCCTTCTGTACTCAGACTTTTGACCTAAGTCCCTGGTTCCTGTTGCCTAATCTTTCACATCATGAATGCCCATATGCCCACAAATGCCCACCTAAACTATTTTGTTTGCCATTCAAGATTTGGAAATTACTACTATTGGCCTGAATTGTGTTTCCATTCTTCTTTCCTGGCTTGAACATCTGGATACTCATCTATAGCCCAGACTTTTTTTTTTTTTTAAGATTTATTTTAGAGAGCATATGCACAGGAGTAGGGGGAGGGGCAGAGGGAGAATTTCAAGCAGGCTCCATTCCTAGTGCAGAGCCCAACATGGGGCTCAATCTCACGACCCTGAGATCATGACTGGAGCCAAAACCAAGAGTCAGATGCTTAACCAACTGAGCCACCCAGGCACCGCTAACCCAGACTTTCTGATCTGATTTCTGTCTTTTCCTAACTCATCTACTTTATTTTTTTTTTCCTCTCTCTCTGCATCTTAGTCCAACAGTACAGAACTCTCAGTT